AACGGAAACTGACGGCCAGTCGCTGAGGGGAGCTTCTCCAGAACCTGTCGGACCGCAGTGAAGCGGCGGATCTGGGCACACAGGGGCTTTTCCTCAGGCAGGGAAAGGCCAGGAGACAGGCAGGAGATGCTGACAAGGCCTGGGCGTTGCTGGAGCAAGCGCGGCCCATCCCCACAGCTACAAGCAGCGGCCTGGGGAGCACGAGAGAGCAGGAGCGCTGTGGCCAGGGCGCAGTGCGGCAGTTGGTGTGCCTTTGTCAGTTACATCTCATTAGGGCTTTCTGCCCTGCTCTTTGATTTTCCACACTCCTCATTCTCTTGGCAATTCTCACGTACCCTGCCTACACTTCCAGCATTACCTGGACACCCACACCCGTCACCAGGTGATTGCATCACACTGACTTGGGTGAGATTCACAGGTACTGCCCTGAAGTCCCAGTCCTCAAATATGTTGAATCACCTCCCATGCACTCGAGGAGTTCACTCAGCTCTCAGCACTGTCATGGACAAATTGTTCTTCCTCTCTTCTCTCTGCTTGCTCCACATAAGCTCCTGGGGAAAAGCAGCCTCCCTCCTTTTGTGTCAGAGCATGCTGTCTTGTCCTGCTTTTGCTACGATGGAGTTATGTTTCTTCTCAGTAGTTAGAATAGCTGTGTTTTAGTTTCAGTGTGAGACTTGTTATGAGAAGAACGCTGATAAAAGTGCTAATGTTATTAGTTGCTGCTGGAGCTCAAGGCCATCGTGTTTGGCTGGGTCACAGCTGGGACTCAGGACTGGGAGGGAGAGGTGTAGTGAACAGCAAAACCCCAAACTGGCATTTGGATGTGCCAATGAGATATTCCAGATCATATCGCGTCATGTTTAGTACATTGTCCGGGGCTGACCACAAAGGGTGGTGATTCTCTCTGGCCTTCGCCTGGGCTCTGGCTCTTCCAGGACTGTGGTTTCAGTTTGGGATTGTTGCTCCTCTGGGATCGTTATGTGGGAACAGGCCAGGCTTGGTCGGTAGGTGGTGAGCAGTGGCACTGGGTATCACCCATTTGTGTATTTTATTACTGTTACCATTATCACCAGTATTTTAATATTAGGGGTTTTTTTAAGTTTTCTTTTATTTCTATTATTAAACTGTTCTTATCCCAACCTACAGGCCTCCTTACCCTTGCCCCCAATCCTCTCCCCTATCCCCTGGGGGTGGGGGGGAAGTGGGTGAACGGCTGTGTTGGCTGCTGGCCAAGGGCTAGTCCATGAAACTATCACATGTGTGTATCCCAGCTGGGCTGTCTTCTAGCTGTAGTAACAACCCGTGGAGGTGAGTCTCTGCCCAGTGGGCTCACTGGCACATCCACTGGTATGGCTACCACTCCCTACTGTGTGACATTGTGTGCCAGCATCCCTCAGCACCTCCTCTCACCCAGACACTGCTTCACCCACCAGAGGACAGAAACGGGGCTGAACTGTCTGGCCATCAGCTCTCCTTAATGGTGCTGGTCTTTGGCTGGGGCACCCTGCTCGCTTCGTGCAGTGAGGCTTGAGCAATGCCACAAGCCTAGCCCAGAAATCAAGTCCTACCTGATTCCTGCCCAGCCAGGGAAGGCAGGCACTGCGCTGGCATGGCTTCACCTTTAACAGAGCAGCCAGACTTTGTGCTTAACCACCAGGGCAATAGCTCAGTCAAACAGAGATCTTGTTTCAAAACGTCCAGTAGGGTTAACACATTACAAAGCTCATTGGCTTTGTAACACAGACAGACAGAAGGGAACAGCATCCCGCCTTGTTACTTAGTAGACAAGGAGGAAAGTCCTGCTGTCTGGGATGGAAAGCATGGGAAAGTCTCCATGATCTCTGCTCTTCTCATTTTCTTTGGTATGTTTGGTATCTTTCACCACGCATCTCAATACAGCACAGCATTACTTTATAATGAGAGCTCCTTTCAGGAGCTGTTCCTGTCCTGTTCTTTAAACTCTTGTGGCAGCTCGTGAGGATGATCTGTTGGCCAGCCAGCAGGAGGAGAGAGGACAGTTCCAGAAAAGAGGCAGATGAGGAGGAGCCAGAAGAAGAAGAAGGCTCTGTTGCACTGGATGTGGGCAGAGTCTTGGCCAAGCTCCTCCTGGGCTTGCCACAACCGCTGACGATGGAGGAGAAGATGGTGGATGAACTTCTCCATATCTGTCAAAAACTTTGCAGGAATAGTATCATGGCACGACTGCAGTCAGCCAGCAGGGTGGTCGGTGCCTTTGAAGGTTGGAGCCCCTGTGAGGATGGTGCTGTACACCACACTGAGGAGGAGCTGAGGAGAAATCAGGCTGCCAGCCTCCTACAAACCCTCTGCACCAGCCCCTACCTAGACATGAAGAAAACTGTTTC